TTGAGTCGGCGCTTTTGACGTGGGAGGAAACTGGGCGTTAACCGGTTTAGACAATCATTTTACAAAGGGTCACTAACTTCAATAAGTCAACCTGTTCAAGGTGACAAAAAAATTGGGACAACTAAATCAGAAACGAGAATTTTTGCTTAGAAATTTTGAATTGGAATTTACAATGCGAATTGGCGATGAAATCTTTTTCACAGGGTTTTGACGAGTCCTAAAAACCTGGAAAGTTGTGGAATTTCGCATTTAGGTTTTACAAGTCTCAAAAGTCATGGATTTTTTCGAGKGTCATGGAAAGCCATTGAAATTATTCTTGTTGTGTTATATTTTTTTCAATTTCAGTCACGGCTTTTTCCTGAACAAATTTAAAACAAATGCATTATATTAAATGAAATTGCTAGTGTAATCAATTGAATGCTTATGGAAAGTCATGGAATTTCATAGTTTTCGAAGTCTGAAAAGTCATGGAATTTTGTCGAGGGTCGTGGAAAGCCATTGAAAGTATTCTTGTTTTGTCACATATATTTTAATCGCAGTCACGGCTATTTCCTGAACAAATTTAAAACAAATGCATTATATTTAATGAGCTAGCTACCTTTTAAAGGTCACTTACATAAAGTGCTTATATTAATGAAGTTGCCTTTCCGTCAAAGGTCATGGAAATTCGTGGATTTTAGAACTTCAAAAGTCTTTAGTAACCGTCATGGCATGATATTGTTTGTGTTAGTGGCGATAGTTTAGAATTCATTTGTTTTTAATATGTCTAAAACAGGTGGAAGTTTGAATAAACTATTGTTCCCTAAATTATACTGTTAGTGAAGTCAAACGATTGTCTTGCTGACAGAAAGAAAAGCTGTGACCCGCCTTTAGGGAATCAAAAACGGGTGGATGAACTTAGGAAGTTAGACCTCCTAGTATTAGATTTACTTTAATATTTTTGTCGAAATGTAAAAAAAAATGGTGGATTGAAAACTGATGTTTTGAAAAGTTTCTCTTCTTTATCTATTATCAAAAATATTCTTTTTACACATTAGGAAATACTGCGATACATGAATGATTATTGTCCGGAAAAAAGCCAGCTAAAATACAACAATATGGCGGCTTCAATTTTACTTTCCTCAATCCCATGATGCACCTCGTCAACTTAATTGGGGGAAAGGAACATTTRGAATCAAAAATAGACAAAATACTTATTGCTATATTGTTTATACACCTACTTGCAGAAACGTTGTCATAGAAAATAGAACATTCGAATTTAGTAAAAACGAATAAATTAAAACAAAACAAAAGAAAGCGTTCAGCCTCAGTGACCTTCTTTTGTCTTTATAATTTATTCCTTTTWAMTAAAATACAAATGTCCTATTTTTTTATGACAACGTTTTCGCAAGTAGGTGTATATATTGTTTATATTATTTTCCAAGAAAGCTTGGAGTGCAGAATTAATTGAATAACTCATACGGGAAGCTATCTCATAAGTATATCAACCCAAAAGACATCGAGTTTTTGAAATCTTTATTACGTTTTTACCACAGACGGTAAATTAATTATTTGTCCAGATATAGCTAGACTAGATCTAACTAGATCCTTTTTCTTTCGTTTGTTGGACTGTGTTCTTTTCCTGGCAATGGTCGGCTGTGTTTGTGATATCAGTGTTTGTGGTGTTTCTTCCGTTTCTCTACCATTTTCTGTTTTTTTATTATCTTTTTCCCTTCGTCCTTGGAAGCTTCACTAGTYCCATTATTTTCCGCTGGAAATTTCATGAAAAATGTAACGTTAAGGCGTATTCTACCTTCAAAAAGCAAAGCATAAGATGTTGGGGTCTAATCGTCCTTGGCAGCACGGGTGCTGAATTGCGAAAGACGCAGCTCGACGCGCTCTCAAGAATCTTTGAAGTACTCATTCATCTTTGACTCCCATGGCTAAAATTATTACTGAAATGGAAAGTTAAAGTGCTTGGAAGGAGGTTATTCTGTGCGAAAGACCCTCCTTGGCAATAAATTTATTTTCGACATCRCGGTCCTCATATACATATTACATTGCCATACCGCAACCTAACATCTGTTTCACCCCGACCTGCTCCCAGTCTGGCCTTGTAGCTCAGTTGGAAGCTTGACAAGGAAAAATTACTCGTGTAAATGGGGTAAAATGGACAATTTTTCCTTGTCAAGGAAAAGCCAACATGTTCCCTTTTCCTTGAAAAGGAAAAATTGTCAAGGACGAAATTTGCTCGTGTAAATGGACAACAAGGGAAATGTGGCAAGGAAAAATTGTCAAGGACGAAATTTGCTCGTGTAAATGGACAACAAGGAAAATGTGGCAAGGAAGAATTATCAAGGAAAACTTGTTGACCATTCACACGGGCAATTGTTCCTTGTCAAGGAAAACTTGTTATTCGTTTACATTAGCAAAGAAACTTGTCAAGGAAAAAAATTGCTCGTGTAAACGCCGCTTCAAGATTTCCTTTAAACATGTCCAATTTCTTCTTTTGATACACATACTTGATCTAAGGCATCTATTTACCTCCTGAATCATTGCAATAATCAGTATTGCAACATGTCACCTGACAGTTAGTTGCATTGTGTCCTGACTCCAAGGAGTTACAGATTCCTTCTTGGTCGCACAATCGGCAGCCCGAAAACAGAATTCCCTGAGTGTTTGGAAGATCGTAAGAGGTGGTCACACACTGCACCTGAGAATCATTGCCGCAGCTCATGCTTTCCTGGGGAAAGGTGTAATTTCCAAACTTATATCTCATTCGGCACTCGAGGCTCCAAATCGATGAAAGGCTTATGAGAAAACCACACACAGACAAAACCAACTGAACCTGCAAGACAAATAAWCTAAAGGCCCGTTTTCACTTGCGATTTTTGAAGCGCGATTGGTAGGGAAAAKTTTKTAATAATGCATTGTTACACTGAATAAAATAAAAGCAAGTTTATTTTGATATAATCGACTGATATAGAACGAGTTTATTTTGATGCAATCGAGATGACACGACACCAAGACAAAAAATTATGATGAGRTTGTCCTAGACTTCTTCGCCTCACCGTACATTTCTTTTTAGAATTGTCCACTTTCGATATTATGTTTGAATGGTCATGCATAAAGAAATAAGAACGAGGCTCAGTGGAAACAATAGGATTAAGTCTATTATTTCCGCGCCCTTGGCCTCGTCTACAGTTCTTTTGTGCGGGGTTAGTCAACCAAAATATTGAAAGTCCTTTGTTTAAGAAGCTTTGTCACCTCAAATTTTCAATGAATTTTTTTCTTAAACTTAGTAGATATTTAATATGTATAGTTTACAACATGAGCGGCCGTGTTGTATGGGAATAGACCTAATCGGCTTCAACCCAATTCAAACAACCCGGGAGTAAGTTTCATTGTTCGTTGTATTTTCATTTCACAGTTGAATTCTTAGAAACATAAGTTCTTTTTCCCGCAGGATTTGAATTGGGTGGCAACGTACATAGCAACGCCGTTAGCCGATTAGGTCTATTACAATCTCGAGCCGCAGGCGAGAGATTGTAATTCCCATACAACACGGACGCGAATGTTGTAAACGACTTATAAAACTCCAACACAAATTAACATGAATTACAGTGAGATAAATGACGAAAAATGACAAATAAGGTAACTGCTGAGTTTAGTCCCTATTAAGCATGCGCAATTTACTGCAACACAGAACATTTTGAATAATTATCCATCCCACATGGAAAGCAAGCCATCTGTTGCATAAGCGAGTTCTGTTATCCGTATTTGATTGCTTYAAAACCWAGTGAAGGTCTATGATGCGACACTAAAACTGAGACCTTTGCTAGTGTTGGGTTGTCTCAATGTTGAAGACCGTGTTGTAAATCTGATACAACACGAGTGGTTGTATCAGATTTACAAGGTCAATCACCTGATTAAATGGTCAGCCCTTATTGGAGCAATAGCTTATGCATTATTAATAAGTTTTATAATATTTTATGCTGTTSTGTTCAGTGATAATTTTTTAACGGTCTTGATTTCGGATTAATTGTTTGACCGTGAAATAGTTAAGGTTATTGTCTAAGAGTCGTCTCATTCCGTGAATTTTGGCACGATCAATCTAGCAGGTGATTAACGTCACGTCCTTCATCAAGTTGTATTTTATAGCAAAACAGTTTATTATTATATGAAAATAATAATTATTATAATTTGTTTAGGCAAATTTCTTCTTCGCAATATTTACAAGTTTCCAGAACCAAAATGTTTTTTGATTTCATTAATCCCAAAATTATCCAGTGATAAAAAACATTTTTTTTTTTCGTGAACTAGTATAAACAGAGATCTATTCAAATCCATGTCCTTACCTTCATTTTAGATCTTTGTAGCAGACAGAAAGCTGAAAGTAAATACAAAATAGCAATTTATATATAGTTCTCTGATACAAGGATTGTTTTTATTTGACATTGAAAGATTACTGAGACTRATAGTTGGTATTTCACTCTTAATCTATCGTTTTGTTTTCTTGTTTACCAACAAATACTAACTAACTAGTCATGGCTATTGCATGGTGAAATGAAAACAACTCCAATAAGCGCACTAAATCYGTGAAACAAAAATCAATAATGGCCTGAATGAATCAGGCGATTCCGGTTTGCCTGGCTGATTTCTTTGGTTGGTTCTGTGTCCCACTGGGAAATGAAAACAAATGGAACTAGACCTTTGAATTGAATTGATCGTTCTCAGCCATTCCCATGAGAATCAAAAGATAAAAGACCAGTGGCCATGTTGGAGGAATGAACAATAGATACTAATGAGAAATCCTTTGTTAAAGTTCCTCTCTGACGCTGTGGACGCTGTGACGTAACTTGAAAACGAAGAATCCGACCATACTACCACAAATTAAAAATACCCTCTAACTATATACAAAACAGTTACTTTTTAGCACATGATTATTAACAAAGTAATTAGTACAATTCAGCTGAACCTATTATGTAGAGTTATCGTTTCTGATCTAATTAAAAAGTTAATTATTCAAACTGTTTGTTTAAAGGCTGATTTACACGGCACGATTGTCT